AGTCTGTAACACATAAGATTCAGAATTATTTGGGTTACACTTTCCAAAGGGCATTAGAAAACTGTTGAACATCTCACTTGCACACAGTTAAAATCTTGATCTAGAGTCTATCAGGTCACTTAAACATCCCACACTTAAAACCACTTAGTTATAAGCTCAGTGACCCTGGGTAAACAATTAAATATCTCTCTTATCATAACCTTCTATCTGTGTAAATGAGCATTAGTTTCTCTACTTCACGGAGTTGTGTTTAGGACTAATGAGGTAATGAGACAATGAGATAATAAGAAGTAATATGAACACATCTTATTAAAGAAATAAAATACATGAAAGGAGGATTAAAAATATAATCAGTCAGGTGCGGTGACTCAAGCCTGTAATCCCAGCACTTTGTGAGGCCAAAGTGAGTGGATTGCCTGAGCCCATGGGTTCGAGAACATCCTGGGCAACATGGTGAGACCTTGTCTCTACAATAAATAAAACAATTAGCCAGGTGTGGTAGCATGAGCCTGTGTTTCCAGCTACTTGGAAGGCTGAGGCCGAAGGATCACCTGAGCCCAACAGGTTGATGCTGGGGTGGCCGTAAGCATGCCACTGCACTCCAGTCTGGATGACGGAGTGAAACTCCAACTCAAAAAAAAAAAAAAAGAAAAAAAGAAAAGCATTAATCACCAGGTTTCTTCAGCGCTTAAGGATAAAATAAAAAATCAATATTTTTATTAAATATAGTAGATATAAAAATGAGTGGCAGTTATGCTTTTAAAATACCTCTATAACATTTTAATTTTTTGCAATTAGAACATATTTATATATTGACTAGGTAAACATATATTGAATCCTATTGAAATGACTGAAAAATGACCTGTTTTTAAATACATAAATATAAGCTTGTTAGACATAAGTAACTCCATTCTGCTAAAATCTTCTTTATAAGTACTCACAGTTACCTGCTTGACATAACTCCCCCCGTATGTAACCACAATTGTCCTTGACCCCTAAACTGTAATTAAGAGCTTTTTATTTGAAATCCCCAACCCCACCCACATCCTGTTACAAAACACTGTTTCAAAATTAATTTTACAAGAAAATGCCTGACCAACAGCCAGTTAAGTAAACAAAAAACCCACAAACCCCTTGCCCAGTTTTCTTTTCATTTCTGGTATATAAACTTTAGCCATCATAATAACAGAAACTGTATGTTTTTTTCAAGCTGCACTACAGATAAATTACCCCACTACTTGCTTTGCTGGGGCTGAGAGTTTTCAATGACTCTTGCCTCTCTCAGTTGCCATGGCTGATTAAAGAAATCTTCAGAATCGGAAGTCCTGTGTGTTGACACCTTATTTCTCGAACTCCGGTCATAACACTATGTGATATAATATTTAAGAATCACAAAGTATATTGCCATTGTTTTTCTCTGACATGAAAGATACTTATAACTTTAGGTGTACATAATTCAACGGGAATTAAATTCACTTTTGTGGGAACAGATAATATACTAATAGGGTATACAAGCAGATTCAGATCTGGAATTTTTAAGCTTTTTTTTAAAAGCAAAATGAAAATATATTTTAGTATAAAAACAGCATCTGAATTTTTGAATACATCAGAAATCCACATTTGAAAATGAAAAATGTATTTCATACAAATATAATTATAGATGTTTCTTGAAGTAATTAAGCCCCCAAATTAACTAGACAACATTCTTAGAGGCACACAACACAGTCCATTCTAGTTAGTTTTAAGCAGGAAAATAATTTAATAAAGAATATTAGAAAGCTCATAGAATATTCAAGAGAACAGAGCGTCAGTCTTGAGATCTAAAACAACAGAAAAGATGCCCAAGTCATATATGGAGATTAACCTGTTGAAAACCTCGTTGCAGCTGAACACAGAACAACTCCAATCCTTTTAGCACTGCTCTCCTTGAAAGTAGGATCCTTCATCCCAGCACTCAGTAGAAAGAATGGGTGGAGAGAATAAAATATGGAAAATACCTTCATTTTCTGTTCTTGTTCATTAAATAAAATCTTGTTCATTAGTTTGTTTATTAGAGCCTTATTTATGTGTCTGTTCCTTAACTGCAAAGAAGGCTAACCAAATACGTTTCTGGTTTTCCAACTTAAGAAAGCAAAAATCATAGAGTAGGAATTGCCAAAACATTAAAGTGGTACTTAAAAGACATTGGATAACCAGAAAGCACATCGATATCAGGTAGAGACTTCACTAAATATATATATGCATATGTATATATATGGTTTATTTAATTGTGAAGTGACTTCTGGCAGACTTCTAGCAGAAATAAATATTAAATGAAACACAATATGTGATATTTTATAAGTTTTTCACGCTATAGTTATATTTATAAGTGCATTTAAATATATTTTAATAATTTGACTGTTGATGCCATAGGGCTTAAACAAAAAAGAAAACAGGAGTATATTGGAAAAGTGAATAAATATTTCTCTTTCAAAGATATCTTTGCATGTTCTCTGCTCTTTTAATTTGGAAAGGCTGATAGCTCTGTGTACACTATAGATTATGATTGTTTGTTCAGCTTAACTAAATATGGCTCAAAATGAAACTGAAACTTTCTAAATATTGGAAACACTTTTAAAATTCTCAAAATTTATCTTCTCTATAAAGTCTATCTAAAATAACTTCATACAATAAAAATCAATTTAAGCCAGAAATTATCTAATACTTATGTATATTTTAGAGATCTAATTTATCCAGTAATTATCTTCTAGAAAATTTGAGTTTCTGAAGCAGATTCAAGAATTAGGAAGCAAGTAAAATAATTTACAAAACTCATGCACAAGTGTATGTCCACTTTTGCAGGTTGTCCACAGAATATCAATCATAGCATATTATTTCATATACTTGAAACAATTTTTAAATGAGTTTATTTTGAGTTTTTCTTTTTATCAGAGCACCCTAAAATACATGAGTTTATTGAAAATGATAGTGAAAAGTTTAACTGTAAGGTTGACAATAAAATAGAAGTTAAAGTATAGACATAACAGACCACACAGCAAATCCATGATGATTTTGTCTAGGGCCTTGGTTTTCAAACGATCTTGAATGTTACTGAGATCAAAGCTGCTCAATGTTATTGATATCATAAAGGATTAATCACTATTCTCATATATTCTTTGAGGGAAGTTCACATATGTAAGCAAATTTGGAAAAGTTCCATCAAAATAAACAAAATAATAAAAATAAAAGAGCCTTCTTGTTCTGATAAATTCTAAGACACTGAACAAAAAGGGAACGATGTAACAGGAATTTGGACTTGTATCTTGGATGTATTTTAGGAGTTTTTCGTGCAACAGCAAAGAATAAGTAGAAAAGTGTTGACCTTTGAGTAATGATACAAAATATGCAAAGAGATAATAAAACTCCAAAATCACTAAGGTAAAGATTGCCCATTTCATTTCCACAGATAGCCCATAAGCAAACGATTTTTACGTCTTTTCATCTTCTAGGATAATGTTCACTTTCTGATGCTCACTTTAAACAGACATCATGGAAGGAATAGATGAATGTTCTGGAGTTTGTTTTTTGTTCCACTTTTGAAGCTATAATTAACGGAGTTGAGTTTAAATTCTAAATTTCTAGGAATAAACGTGAGTAGAAAAACATGTTCCTTAATTCCAGAAAAGTAAAGCATTTATTTGTTTTGATTAATATTTCTTGTTTCTAATACATTATGAAGTATTGAGAGCAAACACTGCCTTCAGCACCTTTTGACTTTCACAAACTATAGACTGGTTCTCAATCACAACAAAATTACATAGAGATTGTTGGTGATTATAGAAATACTGACCATCAGACCTGTAACATTCTAATGTGACTTCCAGAGATGATTAGCCAAAGGTAATAGAATGCAATGGCTTCTTATTTTTTGTTTTGTTTTATTTTTTTCTGTTCTACCCATTTGTTGAGAAAATACCCAGCTCTTGCTTAATAATAATAAAGATCACCCCACATAATTTTGTCCTTCTTAGCCCAGTAAACACTTGACCCCAGATTGGTATATCAGATTTTAACATTCACCAAGTAATGACTCAATGAAAGATGTACAATGTCAGTCAGTAAAAGTTATGATATTTGTAGAATGTATTTCACAGATATCATAACATTATTAATGAGTAACCCACACTGTATAGTATTTCTTAATATATTTTCTTATTGAAAATTAATACACACATATTAATGCAAAAAAATTCAAAGGGACACACTTCTTTGTAAGTCTTTGTTCCATCCCTGATCCCATCCCCATCCTTAGAACCATCACTTTGAATAATTTCATAGATATGGTTCTAGAAATTTTCTATAAATAAACCATATATTTATAGATGGCTAGACATATTCTGTCAGATAGTAGGACATATTTTAATATAACCTCATATAAATGTATTTTCCTATCAGCACATATAAATTATCCTCACTAATTTTTAGTAGCTATATAGAATTCCATGCCATACACACACACACGCTAATAATTACAATCACATGTTTCCTATTGATGACATTCAAAATTTTTACTTTTATAAAGCTGAAAGTGAAGAATTTTATACATATGTCCCTGTATTCACAAATATGTGCATACATATATATTTGTATATATATCCCATATATATATATATATATATATATCCCATATTTATATTTATGGGATAAGTTCTAGATTTAGTTTTACAGAATGAGTATTTACATTTTAAAACTTAATATACACTCCCTTAAAGATTTTGCATCAATTTATTTTCTCACCAACACAGTGCCATCTAGTCTTTTTACCACGTTAATGCAAATGCTTTGGATAATTCCAAAGGATCTGGAGTGTAACTTCTAATTGGCAAACTAGATATACCAGTATCCCAATAATTATCTTTTATTCTGCATACAATATTCATTCAACTCCTTAGACTTCAAAAAGTCTAGAGTATATCACATGAATTATGTACATTATCAAGCAACTCTATTTATGCACTCACATTGATGTCTTCCAAATCTAAATTATTTAGAATGATATTGTTCCTTTTCCAGATGATAGGAGGTCTCAGGGCTCCCTGAACGGCACAGGTCAGGACAGCACTTTGTCCCACGGTTGCTGCAGTGATGCTTAGTTGCTGATCTTCAGGCAGACTCAACTGGATCACCTCTGAAAAGACAGTCAGCAATGTTGATGAGCAAGTATTGCTGTAAAGTTGATTAGTATAAAGTTTCTGAATACTAGTAATTAAGACTTCTAATTTAAATAAAAGAGAAAAAAATCTTGTGATGAAATGAAGACTAAATTGTTTCCAATAAAAGGTCAGAATGACATTTCAATTTAAGTGATTGACAAGCATCCTCATGAGGCTAAAAACTATTAAACATGAAATGAATATCAGAAGTAGAGTTATAATAAGCCTGGCAGATTGCACCCAAAAGGGAGATAAATTATTTAACTGCCAAGTCGACATGTAGTGTGTCATCAACATTGAAATAAAAATGATGTTGTTTATTCACTGATAGATTTATATTGTAGGTGAGGTGAGATCATTGCTGGCTGGCTCCAGAGAATACAAGCATAGCTGAATAGGTGAAATACATCTTTATGCTGGGGGACATAAATTGATTTTAAAGAAATAAGATTTATTTGGGAAAATGAAGAAGAAAAGAAATGTAGTTGACCGACCAAATGTCAATTAAGTTAAACTCTATAAGTTGCCTTTATCAGTTAGCATTGGGACAGAAAAGTTACTTCCTGATCTTTAAATTTTAAAGTTGAATGCCACATTTTTAACTAACCACTGTACATGTTTCTTCTCATAATTTCTGCCAATGTACATATTTGTGTCTTTTGTGAACAATGAAACCATTATTTGAGATCTGGATCTGGCTTTCCTTTTCTGTTTTCAGGCAACTCTTACCACATATGAAAATTAGCAACTGTGTCATTATAAATTATCATGAGAAATGACTAGAATAATGTCTACCAATTCTACATCCATATAAAAGTCTCCCTTTGGTTTCCAGTTGGCATTCACAGACACTAACTTTTCTACAGTGTGACTGAGTATTGCATTTTGACTTTGCCCAGTCTTAGCCAAGTTAGAAATACCACTAACGATTGTGATCTAAATATTGATATGGAGGAGTGAAATAACTGTCCTTTGTTCCATTGCTGTTGTAGAGATATTTTTCATCAAGGTTGAGGAGAGAAAGTGGTATTATTAATTTGTAATAAATATGACTATGCACCGTCTCCTTCAGAAACCCCCTTTCTCCATGTCAACTTTCTACTGCTTTGTTCTTTCTTAAATCCGTATGCCCCTTGAGGTACTAGTCAAGTAAATTTTACATACCATATCATTGTCACTAAACAGTTCTTTGGTTTTTGGTGCCATTACAAGTTGCAAGGCCAAAAAGGGCACAAGTTTCTGCATCAGAAGGTCTAGACTAAACATATAACTCCTTCACTTGCACACATTAGCTGTGAATAACTGATGTGTGGTGTTATCGTCACTGGCTGACACCTCATTGACTAGTGAAAATAAACAGAAAAATGCTGACACTCATATTCTGTTATAGAGCATCTAAGCTCTAAATCTAAAAGCCACAACTACTTAAGTCATTATTGTTTTGTGTTTTCAAATAAAGGGGCCTGAATTCTCTTGAAACTGAAAAGCCCTACTAGAGATGCTCAAGCTAAGCTTCTTTTGGTTGTCACATCATCAAAATATGTAGGTAATCAGATTAAAAGGGGGTAACGAGCACCCTGTTCAGTCCTTTGTAGGGACAGTTTAATGTTCCCTGAATGAGATTTATTCATATTCCATTTTATTTCAGTGCTTCCTAAGAAGTAAGAACATAGGGACTATTTTCAGTCTGCATTTTAAAAAATACATTCTGTCATGAATGTACACATAGACACACATACACATAGAAACACACATATACATATATAGAGATATATAAAATAAGTAAAAGAAAACAAATTTTGTCAATTAAGAACAGGAAAGGTGAAATTTACAAACATGGTGCTCCTTTATATCTTCTTTTATATTATAAACTTACAGTAAGGGAAAACATTATAAAATTAATAGCATCACATAAAGTATCATGTAATAATGATTAATAATTTTCCATTTACATTCCCAAATTCCAGCTTCTGGTTGTTCATTAAATCATAAAAGAGATAATAGGACATCTGGTTCTAAAAACAACATGTTAACATTGGCTATTCTGCCATTTAGAAATACGATTGCTACTAAATCATTCTGGAATCACTTCTCTAATCTTCTGCATCTGGTATTAGGTCTCAGGCCATTTAAATTAGTTGTGCTTTTTATAGTTATATATGATAATATTAGTGAGAGAACATAATCATCTTAGAATAAATGCTGATATTTGGCATAGCATTATGTGGGCAATTTTTCCAAAATGTATTTTTTGAGAAGATTCATAATTAGAATAAAGAGTTATTATTCACTTGGAATACTAATATTCACAAAAAACTTTTTAAGTTTTAGGTTTGTATTTTTAAATAATTTTAAATTTATCTAGGTAATGCATATTATTATATGATATATTCTAAATGTATATTACATATTAAATAATTAAATAGTATATATTAGATATAGTATTTGAAAATTCTTTAGCATTGTTTTCTGCAACATGTTTAATATACAAAATTCTTCCCTGCTGTGTTATACAGACATTCATACACCAAACCAATTATGTTCACTGGTTACTTCTCAAAATCAAGTGATCCTTCTCTTAAGTACATTTAGCAGCAAGATTCATTTTAGCCTCAAAATTGCTATGCCTATTGTTACTTATCTTTGTGATAATTATTAAATAAAGATTTAATCTTAGAAATTACAAATAGTAAACATTAGTATCCTTCAATTTCATCAAGAATGATTTAGTGATGAGCAAAATGCTTATAAAAATTGTCAATTGTATAAGTTTGTAGATACATGATCATTATTTCTAGTAATGCATTAACAAACTGAAACACTAGCTATGCATCAAGCTGAATCTAATTTAAAACTGATTTTTAGATCTATTAATATAGTCTGTTTTCTCTGATTGTGTGAATATCTTTTAATGATAATAGTTATTAGATTACAAATAAGAGTTTCAAAAAAATTGAAAACAATCTTTTATCACTATGGTTAATCTATGTTTTTCTTGAATATGCATAAACAATGACATATTTCATCTTATGCCATTCAATCTAGAAATAATAGTGCTATACAGAGAATGTTAGTTCTGTACAGAGAGGTGATTTGCAGCAAATAACATCGATCATTTTATACCCTTTCCATCTCCTCTGCTCTAATAATAATGCATTTTAATGATATTACTCAATAGCTAATTTAAGTAAAATCATATATCACGTGATGTCAAGAGTCATCTGGAGTCATGACAAAAAATAAAAACAAGTAGGCTAAGTACACATGGTACTGACCGTTTTGAAACACTTCAGCACTTCCTTAATCTGTGAACTTACTTCCTACGGAGGCCCCTCTCAAGTCTTCAAGTCAGAGTTTTCATGGTGTTTTCTCTGATCTCATGTTATCAAGATTACTAATTCTATTTCTATTCCAGCTTTTGGTTTTGATTACTTAGGAAAGCTGAGAAGCAAGCAGAATAATTTCTCTTTATGGATCCTTTTCTACACATTCTTATTTTCACAACTTGGCTTAGAGGAGTAATAAGAGCTTGTTTTCACAGAAATAAAAGACTGAATATTTTTGCTAGAAAATCTGAGACCAAAGAGACAAGTATAGTTTAGTACAATTTAAACTATGCCTGGCAGGTATTTATAAAGCATTTAGTTTAATAGCAACTATATGCTAGAAATAATAAAAACAATTAAAAATATTGTATAATTTTTAGGACATACAGAAGGGGAATGAGATATTGTGAATATGTGCAAAGCACCAGTTAAAACAGAAATTGATTTTAGTGATTTTGATTGAAATTTATTTTAAAATCATAAGAAGGACAAAGCTTATCATAACCAGGATTCTGCTCTTCTAAATATCTACATTTTTAAATTCCTAAGTATGTATTTATATTGAATATTTCATTTAATTCATTTAAGCACTAGTTTCATAATCTTATTATCCTCATCATGATTATAATTTCTATTATAATAATTAAGCCTAGAGGAAATTTTATTAGCAATATTTCCAAATAATATATATATTTTACCTTTCTCTACACCAGTAAAAGAAATTGTTAATTAAATGCAGATAATAATACAACAGGAAGCCAGAAATATACCACAGAAAGAAAAACACTTAGAAATCCTAAATGAATTAATTATTCTTATAATGAGACAATCACAATTAATAACAAGGTCTTTAATTAATTGAGAAATTCTAATGGTATTTTTTATCAAGAAATTGGTGATTTCAAAATTAATGTTAATGCTTGCTACCAAGATATGTACAAATTTATTAGGATAAAATGTCTAGAATTTTTAAGACTAAATGCTTATCTGTAAAATATTATATGCTTTTATTATAATTAGTATAACATTAAAACAAAATAAATTTTAAAAGATCTAGAAACTTCTCTTTTTTGGGTAACAATAGACTAGATAATTTGATTGACTCATCCACAAAAGTGAAATAAAATTACAGCAAACAAACAAATAAACAACTCTGAATTAAATATAAATAATATATTCCTAAAGGCATTAAAGAGGTAAGAAGATAGTGAGGAATTACCCAGCCTACATGCTGAAAAGTATTGTAACTCAGAGATGAGTTATGCCTGGACTCACACATTCCTTTGAGGATTTTTCCATTTTGAGGAGATGATTGAGAGACTAGGAGTTACATGGCTTGGTGTTCATCCAAGCTTATAGGACAGGCAAAATAACAGAGTACTTCTCTCTCTGTGCCAGCACTTTAAGGTGCCACACTCTGCATGTGAATGTGTGGACTGCAGCCCACCCTTATTTAGATGTCTCCTAAACACACACACACACACACACACATACACACACACACACACACACACACACACACAAAACACACTTTCTCACTGAAGCACGTTAATATCATTATAGTAATCTAATCCTTGTAATAAAGAATTTTGTATTTACAATACTTGGCAAACTATACACTATAACATAACACAAGAGAGAAGACAGCA